ATAAGGAGACCAGATTCCTCGTCACGGACACTCGGCTGGGCAGCTAGTGCAGATCTCGTTGCGACTGTAGCTTCATATCGGCTTTAGCGATATGTAGGTTGGAGCACAGGATGCATTGGGAAGTAGTTATCATCCTCAGGCATGCATTGGGAACAACGGTATCCTGCTAATGGCCAATCTGACCAACCTCGACTGTTCTCGGATAAGATATATCCACAAAATCGGCAGGTCATCGAGAGCTTCGCTCTGCTAAGAGTGAATTCAATCTTTCGGTAGGGGCAAGCCGTGAAGTCACCAACGGGCGCTTACAAAGTTAAGTTGTTCGTGAATGGAGTATGGAGGCTGGTAGAGGTCTCCGACTGGGTGAGTCCACTGTGGCACTATTGGTCATGTCGGCCAGCGTTAATATTGCTGGTCGTCCATCGGTCGAAACCATGAGCCGAGATGACTACCCGGATGACTATCTTGGTCGTGGTTTCAGTTCCCCCTCTCTTCTAGCGGTATGTTGTTGACATCTTATTGTAAGAATGGTGACTGGTGGGCACCAATCCTCGAGAAGGCCTTCATGAAGGTTCATGGGTAAGAGGCAGTGGCAAGAGCAGCAAATCGTATGAATTGCATCATTTCAGAGGATATGGGTTCCCTGGATCCATCGGTTCCTGTGACCTCTACGTCTTAACAGGCTGGCTGCCTGAGGAAATCTTCTTTGCAGACCTAAGGTCTACAACACCACCGAGTGTTGCGTCTGAACCGGAGGTGTTGGCGCGTAAGTCTGTCGACGCTGTTGGAAACTATTCTTGGAATTGTTCGTAGACTGAGCAGAATGCTCAGCAACGACCCATGCTCGGAAGCAACGAAGCGCTACGATTTGCGATTCCATTCGCTTGGTCATGTGCATTCTCATAATATGGACTATGATCAGGTTCGTCCACCCCACCGAAGTCTCTCTGTGACCCTGAGCGAGTGTGGGAGATCCTACATTCTGGAACGAAGCATGGTGGGGATTTCGCTCCCTCACCTGCCTTCTGAGGAGCAGCTGTTGTGCCAATAGCAACACTAACCGCTTCCACTCAGGTGATTGCCTTCTAACTGTAGCATGTGGTGAGCTATCAGAGGCAGAGTCCAGCAGGACAGGTTTAGCCAGTCGCCATACTTATGCCATACTGGAGGTAAGGCGGAGCTCTTTGTACTCTTCATGATCATCCAGCTGATAGGTTGGAGAGTTCAAGGGCAAGCGGTTGCTCATGTTGAAGATCCATGGTCGTCCTTGAGATGGAGGGGGAGAT